CATTTGTACAGCTATGGTCTTCTTTCAGTGGAAAACAATCCCTTCACTTTGACTGACAGGACACTCCTGATGTGTTTGCAAAGACACAACTGCTTAAGATAAGACTACTTCATTTATTTGAAGCTATTAAAATGCTCCAATATTATGGCCACAGGCAAATGATTATTTAATGTTACTGCTCAATGATCAAAACACTTTAATAAATATGAAACAGGATTGAAGTTCATCAGACTGGACACAGGTTCTTTAAGCTTCTTTATTTTGCTGCTTTAGCTGTCAGTCATTGTTAGCAACAGTAAACTAAGTTATATGTATGATTTCAAGCCAAGCTGTATTTCTACACAGTAAAAGTAAGGAAATTTATGTTTAGTGGATTACTTCTTTGTCGTGACAATGCTTCTTGGCAATAAATCTTTTATCAGGCATCTGATTGGCAGCACCTGGAGGCAACAGAAGCTCAAAACAAACAAAGCAACTGCAAAATAAGTTGTTAGGCAGAGATTTGGCAAATGTTTCATGTCCAAAACCCACATAATCAGCTCTACTGCTCATCCCACAAATGCATGTTCCTTTCAAATGTGGCACCATTTAAAAAGGGAAATTACAAGGCTCTCCAACGTTATTTGATTTATTGCCAAGAAGCATTGTTACAACCCAGTTAACACAAATTTCATTACTTTTTTCTAAATTTTCTATTTATTTTTATACAGGGAGAATGCATGTAGTTGTGTTCCCTCCACCTTAAACACTGTCCCAATTATCATGTACAAACGTTTCTCTTACCTAGTGCACATTCGCTTTAATAGGGGGGTAAACACAAAAAAGTGCTCTGAAGTGGTTTATAAGATAGACGCAGAATAATTAACTACCTCTGTCAAGAAATCGGACGCTTTTTATTTATTTCTTTTTTGTTCCCAATGAGAGAAAGCTCACTAATGTGCATCAGTCTGAAGAAAATCTACAGTTTCTTTTTTTTTTTTTTTTTGAAATGTTTTACTATGAACACATCCCATATTTGTGTACTATAGGCACGCGGGTCAGAGCTTCACAAAAATCGAACATCAGAACTGACTCCAAAAACCTGCAATCTGTGCATCTCCAACCCACAGTTTAAATTCAAACAGCAAATTCACAAAAAGCCCACAGGGTCCAAAGGTTCCTGTGATCCCCTCAGTGACAGGTATCGAGCGGACACATGGCAGGTCAGAGGGGGTTTTATCAGCATATTAATAATCCAGCTGGTTTCATTGTAGTGAATTACTGATGCATTTTCCTTTTTCATTGAGCCAATTGTTAGGAGAAAATGGTTAAAGAAAATAGTGCCCATATCTGTGAAAGGTGAAAAACAAACAGTGTATTAGATTCATTCAGTCTTTCTGTTCTTCTATAACAGAGTGAAGCAGAAAGCTGGAGCAGAGTTCATGGATGTATTTGGAAGAGGTCACGCCTTCCTGCTGATGGTCTGTTTTATCAAAACATATCCCTGCTTTCTTAAGAGTTATTCATGAATATGGCTTTGTTGTGAAACCACTTTGCCGCTCTCCTCCGTTCTCCCGCAAGAGCTCTTAGTGCTCGGTCAGTTTCGGAGTGTGCATTTGAAATTACAGCCTGTGATATTCTGCAAATAACTTGGTACATGGGTACATAATTCTCTGTAATATGGGAGGTTTATAATTAAACATCCTTCACACACATCCAGACCTGACATGTCTGACATAAATGGGGGCAAAGTTCTTTTTTTTTTTCTAGAATAAAAAAATAGCATTTTCTAAAATATAAAACTGTGAACAAATCAAGCAAGGATTCGGAGGCTTGCTGCCATTTGGGAGGTTTCCAACCGCATCAAAACATGTTCGCTTCTGATGTTCTGTCCTCCATTTCTGCTGTTTCAACTCCAGGACCAACTTGTGATAAAAGATATGAAGAAATAAGGTTGAAACCAGTGTAAGAGTCTAAACTTTTTTACATTTGTTCTATGGAAGAAAGAAATACAAAAACAAATCATAATCTTTTATTTAGAATTCAGTTATTAAAAAAATAAATAAAAAATCCTATCTGTGATCATGTTTTCTGATCAATATTTAATGATGGCTTTAAATTATTAATGCTGGGAGATGAAAAGTACAATTATTTCCAGGGACGGCTGTACAGAAAGAGCTGGATTTACAGGTGGATGTGCTTAAAGAATGGAAAATCTCCAGAGTCGAGTAATACTTAAAGATTTAGTGTTTCAGAATAAAGTCTTTGTTGCTCCCATGCTATTTCAACAGAGTCAAAGTTCTGCCACTGACATATAAAAACCAAAGCACAACTCAGCTTTCTAATGTATAAATGTTCAAGAAAATTAGAACTTGGAAGATAACATTTAATATAAATATGTGGGCTGTGCATCTTTTGCTTCTGCATCATTTATTTCCAGTTGTTCACAGTTCCCCCCTCAGAGACCCCCCTTTGCACCAACACAAACACACACCCAGATACCTGCATGTACATGCTCGCAATTTTACAAGTTAGCTAATTTATCATCTAATATTTGTCCATAAACAGAACTTGAATAAAATGCAGAATTCTCTTACTTGGGGTCTTCGTTCAGGTCAGTGGGGTAACTCAGTCAAAGAGGTCACAACAAGGATATGCAGCTGCCAGAACACCTAGCATGACCCTAACTTGTTAGGAAGGATGGATCATGGCTGGCTGCCAAAGTTTAACTCATGTTCACTTGTTTGGTCAGTCCTCCTTTATGAAGCAAAAATCTGGACTCTGAACGCTGAGATGAAGATAATAAGCACATCCGACCTGCGACAGACGCCTCCTTCAGGTCCTACACTGTAAATGCTGAGGTCCAACATAGTTCATGTCTTAGTTGGAGATCATGATTCCTTTCTAACTCAGATCAAGAGGAAGAAACTGAAGTGGTTTGCCCACGTAGTGAGGGCCAGGGGAACTTGACAATTGTGATCGTCCAAGGAAAAGCTGAAGGAACCCGTTAATAAGGGTGTGTTCCCATCGTCATTATGTGGGGGGCATTCATTTAGATAGGTCTCCCTCTTTATGCCCATCCTGCTCCTCGAATCGACCAAGGTGGAGGTTGCTGGTAAATGTTTGTTCTGCCTCCACTGCAAAAAGCTAATGATGATGATGATTTGTCAGGAAATACATTTTCTTCACAAACAGTAGCAAACCGTTGCACTGTCTTTCCACTGACCAGAAAGATGTCAGATGTTTGTAAAACTGGGTCAGAGAGCTGAAGACTTCAGCAGACAGCACTGTACGGTTAGACGACATTGGCAAAAAAAACTAATTTGCATGATTAAGTGTGGCATTTCACCAATAACAATATATGATGTTTGCATGTAGACACTGTGGCCTTGGTCTGCCTTTTTGGCTTCCCTCGTACTCCAGTTTAGGTCTGTGAATTAGCATTAGTATCTTTGCACTGGCTTACGCCATTGGGTTCACATGTGCGCCTGATAAGTGTGTCGTACACAAGAACACATCATCACATGCCACTAATAACAATAATTGCAAAGTGGCAAATATTTACTGTTAGTTTTGCTGACAAGTAACTGTGCACAATGCATTTTTGCCTAGCCTTACAGCACTGACGATACCTAAAACTGTAGTATCTAGAAAGTCTGAGTACAAGAGCTTGTTGTTTTGTGATTTTCTGACGCCTGGAGTTGGCTGATTGCACAGAAACCATTTATTGTTTGTAGTTTGACTTAACCATGTTGTTGGGGCTCATCAGATCTTATACTGGTTCAGCCACAGAGGGTGTAATTGTTGGTGGACAACTGTCTTTCTCCCAAAGAGGGGCTGACAATAAAATTTGCAGAACCACTGTTGTATTTATTTATTTACCGTTATTTAACCAGGCAAATCCCACTGAGATCATAGATCTCTTTTTCAAGGGCGGCCTGGGCCTAAAGGCAACCTATTGTACATGTTTTTGTGTCATGTCCGAAGGACTGATGCACTCTTCTCAGCTGCATTTAAAGGGCTGTATTTAAATGTTTTGTTTTAATTCCATTAACACTCACTTGTAAAAAACAACTGTGCATAACTCAGCTGTTTGCTGTAATTAAGCTTTCATTTTATCATTTTAATGTTACTTTGCACATGCGCAGACATTTCAACAGCCCCTGTCCTATTAAAGCCCCCCCC